CCAGGACCAAGCCGGGAGTCCCCCGCTGCGGATTGCACTAGGACTTGGCAACCCTAGGTACCTCACCTGACCACATGCGGAACCGGCCGAAACTGGATTGAGCACATGGCTAGGTCAGGACATAACAAATCCCACTGACTTCAAGGACTTAGAAGGCTCCACCCTCTCTCCTGCCAAGTTCTTTGGAGTTCTTTGGAAGACCATGTTTGTGTAACGCCCATAAACATCTCATACATCAGTTGTAAAGATCAGGAAGGAGGCACAGGGGAAAGGTCTTTCCCCCTTTCTCCCTGCCCTTTTCTGACCTAAAGTCAGTTCCGCATGACCAGTTTGTCCTTTTTTCCGACTGAGATGCAAGCAGAATTGAAATGCGGACTCCACACATTTTTCTCCCTAAAAAATCTAATAGTGCACATGCTCCAAGGGCAAGATCTTCTTTTCCCAGATTTGCTTCAAAGTAAGCCTTATCCAGCAAACATATCCTTCTTCTCTCCCTAACTGTCCCTGTAAACTTGCTTCCCTTCCCATCAGAGGAGTCCTGATTCATAGCTCAGAGTCGCTGCACTGATGCCGTTATGAAAGCTAAGATAAGATCCCAAGTCCTGCTTCTACTTTGCAGGCTGTAATCGTACCCAGAGGTTTGTGTTCCACTGGTAAATAAGGTCACAAAGTTCCTCGCTCTGCTTTGAGCCATCCAAGGACATTAAATGTAGGCCCTGCCCTTGCTATCATGGTATATAGTGGGACAAAAGTCATACTGCATCAAAACAGACTGCCAGGACACCTGGGCACAAAGGTGAATGCTTTGAGGGATTCAAAGAAGAATGGGTCTGGAAACCAGTCAGGCTGCCACAAAATATATTCACTCCTTCTTTCTCACAGAGGATTAAGGCTCTAGAAAAAGGATACAGGAACCTGCAGGGAAATTGCTGGCTTAGCCCCAGCTCCAGCCTGGGAGAATCCTGAATGAGGAAAACACACCCTCTTACTTAACACCAACAATTTTCTTGAACAAAGCAGAAATTGTGGGAAGTACAAGAGGAAGCAGAAGAAAGGAAGGTCTAAGGAGCGAAGCTGGTAGGTTGACGTGCCCATTTATGGCAGTGTCAGTAGGGGGCAGCAGAGTGTGTGATAGCTCTTTGTGGATGGGATGGAGCGTCAGAGTCTGCTATTGTCCCTTTTGTTGCCCTGCCAGATAATGGATCCTGGATCTGGGATGAAAGAGTTCGAACCCCGGTCTATCCAGCGCGAAACACTAGTGGACATTCAGGGAGTCCCTTTGTTCAGCACCACTTTAGAAAAGTGGGATCCCTTGTGGAGTTTTAAAGCCAGGCCGGATGATCTTCTCATCTGCACTTACCCCAAAGCAGGTAAGGCTGGAGAAAAGAAGAACCGAAGGGCCTGGCAAACTGGGGTGGGGTTATGGAGATGGGAACATTGAAGATCTTGGACTGACTAATGGAATCCCCATGGCTCTTCTCTCTCCACGCCACCAGGGACCACCTGGCTTCAGGAAATCGTGGAGATGGTTCGATCTGGAGGCGACCCCCAGAAATGTGCTCGGGCTCCTATCTATAGACGGATACCCTTTATAGACCTTGTTCATCCTGTCCTCTCAGGTGAGAATGTGGTCCTTCGAGGCACAGGATTGTGAGGAGGGGGGAAAGGTCTTTGCACACCAGGCTCAACGTTTCATCCCTTCTGATGATTCAGGCCTGGAAGATGCAGAGGCGATGCCTTCTCCACGAACGCTCAAAACTCACTTCCCGGTTCAGCTCGTGCCCCCTTCCTTCTGGGAACAGAACTGCAAGGTCAGGACAAGTGGGGTGAGAGTGTACCAAATGGGCATGATTTAATGGTGGGCGAGGTTCACCAGAGAGCTGTTTCAGCTGGTCAGATCTTTAATAAGCAGAGAGAATGTCTCTAAGGATGTGCAGAAGGCCTTGGCTGTCCTTCATGTGACCTAGCCAGGTCTGAGGTTACCAGAATTTATTTATATATTTACTAGGAATAAGGTCTGTCGTGGAAATAAATACAACGAGCTCTGGAAAGAGGCTCTGGGAGAGTGCCCCAGCCTTTGATGTGGCGACCTCAGCAGGGTATAATGACACAGAGTCCACCATTTTCTCCAGAGGAACTGATCTCTGCTACCTGAAGAGCAGTTGTAATTTTGAGTGATCCCCACCCCTCACCTGGACATTGGCAGCACTGGTTCCCCAAGGAGGAAATGGCTGATTTGGAGGGTGGAGTCTATGGCATTGTGCCTGTCTGAGGTCCAACCCTTCCTCAAACCCCACCCTCTCCAGGCTCCACCCCTCAAATCTCCAGGAATTTCTCAACATGGAGGTGGCAACCCTATCTCCTTCCCAGACAACCATCAACCTACCTTTATCTGCCCCTATGACTTCAGCTTACCATCTCCTCCCCCCTCCCTCCTGGAGACCAGTTGTAATTCTGAGTGATCTCCAGTCCCCACCTGGAGATTGGCAACAATGGTTCCCAAGGAGGAAATAGCTGGTTTGGAGGGTGGAGTTTATGGCATTGTACCTGTCTGAGGTCCCACTCCTCCTCTAACCTCACCCTCTCCAGGCTCCACCCCTCAGATCTCCAGAAATTTCCCAACCTGGAGTTGGCAACCCTATCTCCCTTCCAGCCAAGCATCAACCTGCCGTTATCTGCCCCTGATTCTTCAGCTTTCCATCTCTCCCCCACCCTGCTGCCTCTACTGTGCTCTGAAGCCCTGACTGCTACGTCACATAGCAGTCATAGCTGGTTCCCCAGGAGGAAAAGTACAGTTTTTCTCTGCAATGGAAACCAAAGCAGCTTACATCATTCTCTTCTCCCCCTTTTGACTTGCACAACAACCCTGTTTTATGGACAGAACCAAGCTTGGTTGCCTAGCAATGTCCAGTTTATTCTGACAGGAAAGTGGCCAAACTGGCAGTGGGCAGGGGAGGGGTTACGCTGAAAGTCTGTGACTGGTCCGAAATCACAGCTTCCACAGCAAGAACCTGGGTCTGGCAGACCCCGCTCTGAAGCGCTAACTGCTACACTTAGGGTAGCCAACCTCCAGGTGGAGCCTGAAGTTCACCGGGCATCACAACCGAACTCCAGACAACAGATCTCTTCCCCCCCTGGAGAAAATAACTGCTTTGGACGGTGGCCTCTATGGCATTCTATTCAACTGAGGCCTCTCCTCTCCCCTCCCCAAACTCTGGCTTCCTTACACTGGCTTCCTTAGACACAGAATACCCAGGAATTTCCCAACCTGGAGCTGGCAACCCTAGTCAGGACTGGCGCAATGAGTTCCTCACAACAGCCACTGGGGGAATACTTAGTCCCACAGAGGAGCCAAGTGAGAGAAGTGTCTTTGTCCGGAGACACAGCTGCTTGTCAGTGCTTCTGACAGGGCCGAAGGGGGAGTGGGCGGGGAAGAAGAGCAGACACAGCCCACAGTCAATGGCACGCAAGCACTCTTGACTGGCGGCTGATGGGCCAATGACTGAGGGAGCGCATTGCACAGCCAATGGGAGAGCTGGAAAGTGCCACCCGACTTCACAATTATATATAAGGAGAGATACCACACTTTTCTCCCTCATGGAGACCCAGGGTGACTTACAATGTCATTTTCCCCTCCTCTGGCTTATCCTCACAACAATCACCCTCAGAATGTTTGACTGGCCCAAGGTCACCCAGCAAGCTTCTGTGGCAGAGGGGGGATTCGAACCTGGCTCTCTCAAACCCTGGTCCAGCAGCCTTTATACTTTTATCTTTTAAAGGTTGTGGAAATAGGTTCTGCTAGCAACGATGGCTCAGAGGTTAAGACGCTGAGCTGCAGACCGGAAGGTCTGTAGTTTGGCAGTTTGAGACCCGAGTGCCGCGTGATGGAGTGAGCCCAGCTCCTGCCATCTCTGGCCCAGCTCTTGCCAACCTAGCAATTTGAAAAAAAGAAATTGCAAGTAGATAAATAGGTACTGCTTTGGTGGGAAGGTGACAGTGTTCTGTGCACCTTGGCATCTAGTCATGCCAGCCACATGACCAC